GGGGGAAACAGAGAGGCAGCTATAAGATCCCAGGCACTGTGTTAAGCCAGAGCATAAACTATTTTAGAATTAAGATTGTGTACCAGTAGCATCTCTAGAAATAATGTGTATCTCAAGATTTCTTGCAATCTACTGACTTGACACATGTTGTGCCAAAGACTCATGGGTGAGAGCCATAAAAATCGAATAAAGAACAAAGGGTATATAGTTCCCAGATTTCAGTCTTTGGAGGAGAAGCATCAAAGACTCTCTCTCTCTCTCTCTCTCTCTCTCCCTCTCTCTCTCTCTCTCTGAATGTATGTGTGAGTGTGGTGTTCTGACCCATTTTTATAGGTGATGAACCTTGGACAAGTATTGAGGTGTGAAGTAGGCAGGGAGCACATATTACATGTGCTGTAGAGTAGGGTATGAAAGGCATTAGGGGAGTTTAAGTCTGTTCTAGTAGTTGTCCCTGGTGACATGGGAGTTGGTAGAAGGGACTTTTTGCATGGCCTTTATCAAGGAAATCTTCCTGAATTGTCCATATGGATGGTTTGCAGCAGGTGTCCACAGGATAAAAGCTCATAGGACAACTTCATGGATGCTGCCAGATGCTCTGGTTGCCAGGCACCTTGGCAAAGTGGTTACCATGGCAGTTTCTGGGACACGTCTGCAGTTTTTTTGCTTCCTTCCCCCTCCCTACCACTCCCCATAACTAATTCCTAGTATTAGGATGCTCTTCTACAACACCTGTTCCAGGTGGGTGGTGAGGACATCGAAATAGAACCCTTAGGACAGGACATCCTCCACCCTAAGAAGCATGTGTTTTTCCTTCATAGTGAAATAATCTGTCAGTGTAAATGGGTAAGAGATATGTAATTTGTGCCTGTACACATTTCTATACATGATGACACCTATCCATTAGTTTCCATGAACTTTTTACCTCTGTCTCTCTGTCTCTGTCTCTGTCTCTCCTTCCCTTACCATGGAAGAGGAGCTATATACCTTTGTTTTGAGGAATGCTGAATGCTGAATCATGGGCTCAGACAGTGTGTCTGACACAGATTGAAGCCCCATCCTATACACTCTCTTCCTGATTCTATTAATGTTCTCCTACCTCCTTCCCAACCCCCATCATGCCCCTCTTTCCTTATCCTATCTCTGAGCTGAGCTCTGGTAGTGCAGTGGGAAAGAGTCCTATCTCCTATACCAACCAACCTAAGGTCCTGATCAGTCTGGGCTTCTTTGCCCTTGATTCAGTATAAAATTATTGACTTTTCCCTTTCTGTGTTTCTCTCAGTTTTGTTCCAGGAATCCAGGAACCTAGATTTGTCCTGTTCCCTGGGCCCCTGGGAGACTAACTAGCTTTCAGAATACCTTCTCCATCCTCATGCTGATCCCTAGCATCTGCCTCCCCCTTGCTAATCTGATTAGAGAGGGCACAGGGGACAGCTGCTTCTCTCTCAGACAGCCGTTGTGACATGATGAAGAAAATAAGATTTGACCTTACACTTGGGCTTCTCACTCATCCTAGGCACTCAGTGTCATTGAAGGGTCACAGACAGTCGAAGGGGATGGGGTGGGAAACATTGAAGTCTAGTTGGCTTGGTTATAGGAATCTCAATTACTGTATTTGATTAGGGTATCTCATCGACTACAGCCCGTCAGAGATATTTTAGGGCTTATAGCTTGGTGTGTGCTGGGGGCAGCTGAACCGAGAACAGACAGGTGCAGCTTTGGGTCTGGAGCTCAGTTATCCTTTCTCAGCATTGAAGTTCCTTCTGCTCGGGCCATCTCCTCTCCAGTCAGACACTTGGCTTTCTTCCCGGCGGAATAGACGGAGGTCCTCCCTCCGCCTCCCCAAAACTCCTCCCCACCCACCCCAACTCTAGCTTTTACTATGGCAACCCAGGACCTGGCTTCAGCAGCCTAGCCACCTAGAGGGATAGAGGAGAGTAAGCTACGCCCAGCTCCGTCTGGTTACCATGGTGACAGCCGCAGGGTGACCCGAGTGTTCTTCTCCTCCTCCCACCCCCCCCCCCCCGCCCAACTCCAGGCCTGGTAAGGAAGATGACGGCGTGCTGCTGACTGCGCCAAAATCCAGCCAATGGGCAGCTGCTCCAATCTCTCCTCCCTCTTCCTCCCTCCCCCAAGATAACTCCCCTAGGAACTTGATTCACAAATCTGTGCTAGGGATTTCCGGCTCCGGGGAGGTGGTGCTGTGGGGGGTGTGGAATCGGTGTAGATGGGAAAGGCTTGCAGGTCGGGGAGGGGAAGATCCTTTTTCTCCAGCGATGGAGAGCTGAAGGATGGGGCCTAGGAGTCGGGCCCCAGGGTTCTCTCGTTTGGCCTTGATCCCACCTCGAGCCCCAACTTCATGGGAACGGACGAACGAACACACACACACACACACACACACACACACATACACACACACACACACGCACGCGCGCACACACACACACGGCTCTCTAGGCCATACCTGATGTTTGGTACCATGGACAGCGGTATGAGTAGCTCAGGCTCAAGTACCTTGGAGAACCCATCTCCTAGAGTAGGCAAACCAGCACTGGACTTGAAAGGGTGGGGCTTGGGAGGGTTGTTAGACAAAGAGATCGACCATAGCATTGACTGAGGTCAGAAACACGGACATTTTCCGAACCAGTTTTTCAAGGTCAAGAGAAGTGGATAATAGAGGTACTATCTGGGCAACTGAGTAGAAAGTGGCAATTAGACTTTTTTTCTCTCTGCCTTAAAACCCATCTGTGCAGAGCCAGCTTTTCTATGTGTGTTAGCTCCTCTCTAGTTCTGATGAGAGAAAAGGTTATGTTTCAGTCTCTGGGGCTACTCTGGGTTGGAGTGAGAAAAAGAAATAGCTGGAAGGAGCTTGGTGGTCCTCGCACCTGGCAGGGCCTTGGTAAGAGAATGTCTGGCTAGAGCTAAAGTGGTCCGAAAATGTTGGATAATTCTACTCTCCTCTTGACCAAATGTAAATTTGTAAAACTGGTAAAAACCAATGAGGGTTGGGGAAGGGAAAAAGGGAGGCAAAGGCTGTTCAATCTGAGCTTCATTTTCCCTAATCTAAAATGATAATGGCCTGTTTTTTAATCTTCCTTACCAGGGAGGAGTCTGGAGCTAAATGAGCTAGAAGGGATCTTTTCAGGGCTATTTGATTAGGTGTCTCCTCCTGTCTCCACCTCCCCACCTCAACGTACTACTGCTTCCCCACCTGACCCAGGCCTTTGACCAGCTTTAGTTTCCTCTTCTGTGAAAAATAGGGGTGAGATGGAGGAACTAAACGGGCATTGATTTGTAGATTTCTCTCCCACCTCATGTTTCAATCTGTTTCCGTCTCCGAGTGTGGACACCCCATTCTCTCCCCACTCCCACCCAGTCTCCAAAGAAAGGCAGTCACAGAGCCTTCTGCAGGCGCTTCCAGCGCTTTATAGCTCCCTCAGGGACAGACAGACAGTTCAGCCCGCTCCTTCGGTCCGCAACATTGGCACGTTGGACACGGCCCCCAGGCCCAATCCGGCCTCAGGCCTCCTCCCCCAGGGAACCAGGCCCCGGCTCAGCACCTTGGACAGCTCCCGACCCGCCAGCCCTCTCCCTCCCCTTCCCTCCCCCAGGGATCACTTCCTGAAAATATCCAAATAAATAAAAAGAAAAAAAAAGGTGGGAAGGGGAGCTGGTGACCGGGGGTGGGGGAGGTGGGGGGAAGGTCTCTTCTAAAGTGAGAAGTTTTCTTTCTTTTCCCCCGCTTCTGCTGAGCCAACGCCGGGGCCTCTCCCAATCCGCCCTTACTCAAGACTCTGGGCGGACTCTCTCCCCACCCCCTCCACCAAAATTCCCTCAACCCGCAGCACCTCCCCCTCTCCCGGCATGCACCGCGTCAGAAAAGGTGGGGAGAGAACAAGGGACATCCTGGTGGTTGAGCTCCCAAGACCGCAACTTTCTACTGCAGGAGAGACAGCCCCCAACCCCAGTCAATCCAATCTTCTTCCAGAGAGAAGGGAGAGGAAACGGGGTGGAGGGGGAGGGAAATGGAGAATCAGAGACTCACTTAGACATGAGAAAAGGTGGACAGAGAAAAATACAAAGAGAAAAGGGGAAGGGTTAATCAGAGAGAGGGACAGTCATATATCCAGAAAAGAGGAGGACTGAGGAGCACACACACACACACACACACACACACACACACACACATTGAAGAAACAACAGGAAAATTGGACAGAGATACACATCTAGACAGGAAGAGAAATGGACAGAAAGAAAAATGGACACAAGCAGGAGAGATGGGTACATATACTCCCAGACAGGACAGGTGGACAGAGACATACTTCCAGTTAAAAAGATAGATGAGAAAACACAAGGATCTTTCCAGACAGGAGAAATGGACGGAAAAAGGCAGGAGGAGAGACGAGTAGAGACACATACAGACAGGAGAAAAGGGTAGCGATACATATAAGCAGAAGGAGAGATGAACAGCCACACATACAGACAGGAGGAGAGAGAAGAGACACAAGACAGGAGAGGTAGACAGGCGCTCACACAGACAGAAGGAGAAATGTACAGAGACACCCTCAAATAGACGAGAGAGAAGGGCAGAGACTAAAGCACACAGGTAAGAGGAGAAATGGAGAGAGACGGACATATACAGTCATGAGGAGAGCTGGGCAGAGAAAGAGACGGAGAGACCCACAGGCAGAAGAAGAGAATCCATTCCCCTCTCCCATTTACTCTTTCCCACTCTTCCTCTTCCCCTCCCACTGCTCAGCTTCCCCCTCCCCCGCAAATCCAAGACCAGCAGGACCCAGGTGTCCCATCCGCCATACTCCCATGGGTGGTGGCATCTCCTCAGTGGAGGGGGGCAGTTGGGTGGAGAAGCAGCAACAGCAGCAACAGCGGCGGCGGCGTCCCAGGGGCTCCGTGTATGTGTCCGGGGTAGGGGGGAGGGGACCCGGTCATCCCCTGTCTCCAACCCAGGTGCCCCTTGGCGGTGGCAGCAGCAGCATCGCCTCCTAGCGGTCCAGATTCATAGTCCAGTGCTTGGCTCCGGCGTTGCTGTCCCTGGCGTTGGTAGCGCCACCGCCCGTGGGACCCCCAGCCCCCATACCGACCTCGCCCTCGTTCTTGAGGTCCTGGAAGACCTGGGTGAAGAAGTGGGGATCTGCGTTGAGCCGCAGCATCTGCGCGCTGAGCCTTTGGATGAGCCGCAGACAACGTTGCCAGAAGCGCTCCTTGTCCGGCTCCACTAGGAAAGGTTTGAGCGGGTAGGATATCTCGTTCCCCATGTAGGAATAGGCGAGGTAGAGGCAGGTGAGAAAGGCGGCCTGCAGCTCAGCGGCCGAGCCCAGCTCGTCCCCGCGCAGCGCCTCCCGGCACAGCAGATACACGAACACCAGGTTGGCCGGGGTGATGAACGCCTGGTCTTGCCACCCCTGCAGCAGAAGGGACCGGTCCACCCCTCGGAACCAGCCCACCAGCTCTCCAGGGCTCAGCTCCTTCAGCCGGTAGCAGCGCCGGCACACAAAGTCGCCCAGGCAGCGTAGCAGCTCGCCAGTGGAGGCCTGCACGATGACCCGTCGCGGAGAACCTCCGGGGACTGAGGGAGCCTGGGGGGCAGCCGCAGATGGTGGCGGAGGCGGGGGCTTCCCTCCTCCCCCTCCGGAGCCTGGCGGGGCCGAGGCACTGACTCCGGAGGACGGCTCGACTGTGGTGGGCACTGTGGGCACGGGCACAGGCAGGGGCTTGGCGGCGCCGCCGCCATCCGGGGGTTCTCGGCCCTTGCGGAGAAGGTTCTCTCGGTTGCGCTGCTGGACTAGTAAGTCTGGGCCCGCCTGAGAGGGCTTGGGCGTCACCTTCTTGCTGCCCTTCTTCTTCTTGGCTGATGCGGCCACCAGTCGCTTCCAGGTGAGCGCCGAGATGAGAACTGACGGCCGCTTCAGCCGGCTCTCTCCCTTGCCAGCTTTCCCCGACGGCAGCTGCCCGTAGACTCCCAGAGACTCCTCCCCAGCGGACTGCTGCGGCTTCTTCTTCTCGTCGGGCAGCCCGCCTGGCCGCCGGCCCTTGGCCGAGGAGGCAGGCGACAGAGACAGCACCGTGCCCATCCTGTGGGGCAAAAAGAGCTCACGGGGCCCCGGGCGACGCTCCCCGTGGGGGAGCCAGGAAAGACACCGCCGCTGCTGCAGCACCCGGGGACCGGGGCCTGATGAAGGGAGGAGACCCCGGGCTCGGGGCGGGAGGGGGGGGATAGGAGCGGGGAATATAGCTGCACCGCGGCGGCGGTGGCGGCTGCTCTCCGGGTCTGAGCTGCGCCAGCTGCTGCGCCAGCCCCACCCCTCGGGCCCCCTCCCACTGGCCGCCGCGCCCCGCCCCACGCAGCCAATCCGAGCCTGGGCTGCCCCCACGACTGGCAGCCCCTCGGACCAATAAGGGCTAGCTTCGGGATTCCAAGTCCCACCCTTCCCCCCCCACCTCCCATCCTCCCCCCCACCACCTTCTTCCCTTCGCTCAGTGGGGGGGCGGTTGGGAACCCGGGGGTTTAGAGATGCTATTTGTAGGAAGCCGAGGCAGGGCCGGGGGGTTGGAGCTGGCCGTAGTGAAGGGTGGGGGAACGGTTCTCCAAGCACCCGGCGGCTGTCTCCCTCTTCCCACTCCTCGGCTGTCCGTCTTCGGCCTGGCTTGTTTTGGTGCAGTGGGGCCGACTTTGCGATGAGGCTGAGGGGGAGCCCGCACTGGGGGCCCCAGGGCGTGGGGTAAGGGAGAAGAGTAAAGGGCTGGCGCTCCTTGCCTAATAATGCCCTGCCCCCCCAAGTTGCGGAGAGGCAGGTCTCTGAGGACCATCCCTCTCCCTTACCTCCTCCAACCTTCCCTCTCTTCCTCTTCCCTCCCGCCATGAGAGCCGCTGCAGAGGTTGGGAGGGATGTGAATTGTGAGACTCAGTGTGTGTGTGTGTGTGTGTGTGTGTGTGTGTGTGTGTGTGTGTGTGTCCGCGCCTGTGTTGTGCAAAAATGTGTATGTGTGTGCATAGGTGTGCATTGTGGCCGCGGATGCAAATCTATGGGTTCTTTCCTGAGTTTTTGTTCCCCCACTTTTCTTCCCCATATCAGAGGATTGTACTTTGAGGGTGATGCTAACTCCTTCTCTAGGTACTCCCTTTAGGGCTAGCTGAAAGATGGCCCAGCAGCCTAGTGAAATAGTGGATCTCTGCAGGGGGTGGAGAAGAAGCTTCTGACTGCTTCATACTGTGGTCCCGATTTTCTGACCCCGAGGCTATTGCATTGGGTCTAGGACTCCATATCTCCAAGTGGTCACTATGCTAGTCTCTAATCAGCTCTTCTCTGACAACCAAGAAACTGTCAATTCACCCTAAAGAGAGAGACAACCCTCCTTCCTCCCAAACATGCATCTACACACTTACATAAAACCACTTCAGAATGAGTTGTATGACCGATTTCCCTCCATTCCCTTCCCACCCTTCCCACCACCCTGGGTTAGGGTATACTTTTATGGTAGCTTTAGTTACATGTCTCTGATTAATGCTGTCCACATCACTGTCTCCTCACAGCATTCTTCTTCAGCCATGTCTGTGATCATGCCACTTCTGTCATTAGGGTCCCATTGATCTACTGGCTAACGCCAAGGACTCCATCTTTATGCAGGGCTCCCCAGTTCACTTCCTCCCTCTCTCCCCACCCCACAAACACACTTCACTCAGCCTCCTCTGTTCCTTTCCATATTAGGGCTCTCTGCTCTCTTCTTCCAATCATCTCCTTTCTAGCTAGGAGTATTCCCCCACATTGAATCATCTACTTGGGATACCTTGCCTCCCACAATTGTTTCAGAATTTCCTGAAACCTCACCTCCTCCAAGAAGCCTTTGTGAAATTATTAGAAAGAAGAGGGTAATTTCAATAGGCTCAACCTGACTTTGCCATTACTACCATCAAAAGGAAGCTTATGTTTTATGCTTATTTGCATAGCTGTTCCAGGTACTGAACAAAGAGCATTTAAGGTCTTTCTTTCTATGTCATAAGATCATAGGATTTAGAGTGAGAAGGCATATCAGAGATCATCTAATCCAACCCCATGATTTTACAGATGTCGAAATTGAGGCCTAGATGAGTTAAATGTCATCCAGCTAGCAAGCAGCAGAGACAGAATTTGAACTCAGGTCCTCTGACTAATCCAGTGCTCTTAAGAGCACTAATTAAGTGCTTAATTAAGCACTAATTAAGATCACTAAAAGAGCACTAATTAAGATCTTTAAAAAGGTAGGATTAATAGGAATGAACTTGTAGTAGACACAACATTTTTTTTAAAGGAAAATCAATCAACCACATAAATAGGAGGTGAATTTCCATTATATGCATGACAAATGGAAGATTTTTGGAGAGATAGGTGCCATAGGTATTCCATGCTTATGCAGAATAAGGAGTTAGGGGAACTATTCTTTTGATCAAGTGGGGAAGGTTTTATGGAGGATGGAGGATTTCATTGGATGGCTGGAAAACTTCCGTTACTCACTGTTTCACTGTTTCCTTTCAATTTTCTTGCAATGTAAATATCTGCCGCCTATTTATATATTCATTCAATCAATCAACAAATACTTATTCAACCTATGTAAGGGATTATTTTAAGTTCTGGAGATACAAAGACTTCATCAGTTAAACAGTTTCTGACCTCAACCAGATTACATTCTATCTGGAGAAACATGTATACTCTAAGTATATATGAAATATACACAAAATAAATTCTAGATAATTTTGGAAGAAAAGGCACTAGCAGTTGGGAGGATCTGGAATGGCCTCTAGGGGTATGTGGTGCTGGAATTGAGCTTTAAAAGAAGCTAAGGATTCAAAACAGTAAAGATAAGAAGACAGAGTATTCCAGACATAGAGACCACTCAAAAGCATAGAAACAGGAGACAGAATATTGCCTGTGAGGGATGGCATATAGGTCAGTTTAGTAGGAATATAGCATGTGGGAGATTGTGAAATGTAATAAGTCTGGAAATGTAGACCCAGATTGTGAAGGGCTTAAAATGTGAACAGAGGAGTTTGGATATGATCCTAGAGGTGATAGGGAGCAGTGGAATTCATTGAGCAGGACAGTGACGTGGTCATACCTGTGCAAGACTTTGGCAGCTGCATGGAGGATGGATTGGAGAGAGGAGAGACTGGAAGCAGGGAGATCAGTTAGGGTATTGCAATAACCTAGGTGAAAGAGGTGACAAGAACCTGAACTAGGGTGATTATGGTGGGAGTGGAGAGGAGATAAATTCTAGAGATGTAGATATAGATTCAACAAGTCTTGTAGATATAGATTCAACAAGTGATTGACTGTGTGTGTGTGGGAGAGAGAGAGAGAGAGAGAGAGAGAGAGAGAGAGTAAAGAGTTGAACATCTGCAACTGGTATGAAATAGAGATTCATGTATAAAATCCTTTTTTATGTTCTGTTGTATGGAAATGCTTTTTTATATCTAAATTCAGAATAAATTTTTTAATTGAGCATGACTCTGAGGTTTCAAAACTGAGTGGCTTGAAGAATGATGACAGCCTGGACAAAAATAGGGATTTTTAGGGACAGCTAGGTGGCACAGTGGATAGAGCACTGGCCCTGAAGTCAGGAGGACCTAAATTCAAATCTGGCCTCAGACCAAACTCTTGACACTTATTAGCTGTGTGACCCGGGGCAAGTCACTTAACCCCAATTGCCTAAAAAAAAAAAAAGGAATAGGGATTTTTGGAAGACAAGTGGGTTGGAGGGAGGGGAAGGAAAATAAATTCTATATATTAGAGATGACAATGGAATATCTAGTTTGAAATATTCAACAGGCAGTTGGTGACATGGGAGCAGAGATCAGGAGAATAAAGGGATAAGAAGAAGAAGAAGATGTTGATGATGATGATGATGATGATGATGATGATGATGATGTTGTTGTTGATGATGATGATGACAATGACAGGTAGATAAAGAGAGAGATAGATATAGAGATTACTGGGAATCATCCTGATAGATACTATAGTTGAGCTAATGGGGAACTGATTAGATCACAAAGAGAATGCAAAGAACTAAGACAAGAGAGCCCAGGATAGAACACTGGAGTATACTCACAATAGGAAAGAAATGGACAAGGATTCATTCAGTAAAGGAGACTGAGAAGAAAGGGCCAAGGAAAGGAGAATCAAGGAGGAGAACCATTGTAGTGAAAACCAAAAGAAGCTAGAGTACCTCGGGGGTGCTCATGCACAGCAGTTCCAAATACTATGGAAAATTCAAGGTGAATGAAGACTGAGAAATGGCCTTTGGATTGAGCAGTTGTTGTTTGTCCTTCATTTTCAAAGAGGACCAATGACATCATGGGGTGATGTCTTAATTTATATGTGAATTGGATTTAAGTGAGGCAGAGTTGGGCAATTAAAAGGTTATTGGTAACTTTGAAGATGGCAATTTCATTTGGAAAATCAAGTTGGAAACCAGATTCTGAGGAGTGAAGTGACTGACAGTAGAGAAAAGGGAGAAGAGGCAATGAGTGTAGACATAATTTTTTAGAACTGAATGGGTGGTATAGTAAATTAAAGGGTTTTTTCCTCTTAAGGATGGTGGGGGGGGGAGTAGTAGACAGAAAAAGGCTGAAGATCTGAGAAATAAAGGGGCAGTCCACTAGAAAAGATAAGGAGGAATGGTATGAATGGTAAAAGTGGAGAAACTGGCCTTGGTGAGAAGGGCCACCTCTTTGTCAGAGACTGGAGTAAAAGAAGAGAGAATGAGAGATGATGTAAGGAATTTTGAGATATATTATAGGGGAGAAGAGAGAACATATTGGAAATGACTTCTATTTTTTCATTGAAGTATAAGTTAAGGTCATTGGCAGAGAGGGTGGGAGTCCTAAGGGGAGAATAGACTCTCTGCTGAATTCTTCAAATTAGGATTCCCTTGCAGCAGTGAGAACCTAGTTTAGATTACATGACACAGAATTGTAGTGTACCTATTTAGCACAGTTGTCTGACTCTTTCAGTTCCCTTCACCAGCAGGTAAATAGGAGTATAGCAGGTAGATGGTGGAGGTGGGGAAGGTAAGTCCATCAATAGAATTTAGCAAGGTA